ATTACAAATATATGGCAAGATATAAAAATTGAAATTTAAAATGAAAAAAAAAAATGAGAAGCATAATATTTGCATGGACATTGCAGATGTGTAAATGTTGAAGTAAATAACAATATCACACAGCAAACAATCAAAAGTTTTATATATTTCCCTAATTTGTAAAAATGAAAATCAATGTAAAAATAACAGCGTATGTGTATGTAAAAAAAATTAAATTGTACACATGTCTCATTAGGATGTGTCATATACATAATTCCATTAACTCCATTACAGATCTTTCTAGTTTACTCGAGAAAAATTTAGAGCAAATCTAAGACTTTTTAAGAAGAAAATAATGAAGAAAAAATAGAACAGATCAGTCCATGTAACGCAAGTCCAGAATGCTTCAATAAATTAAAAAATTAATTAAAATACTGGAAAGAAACAAGTCAAACATTTCTGAAAATGCAGCTGGTACATATTTTGTTTTGCACTTAGAGAAACTAGGTGATCTAGCAGTAATAATAAAGTTAGAATTCAAAAGTTTGAAAAGTGTAGACAGTAGCATAATGTAGTTATCACAGAAATGCATAGAAAGACGTGAGTTTCTGTTAATTAATGAGGCTTCTGAAGTTGTGAATCACTTTTCTGAAAGTGTTATTTTCAGATGCTGCGAATATATTTGGGGTGCTGGAATTTGGCTGCATAGGGTGTAGGAAGTAAACTGCCCCATCGATTCGAATGATATTTTCTCTTTCATATTATCCTGACAGCAGAGAGTCTGGATATAGATAGTCATTGCCATCCATTGGGGGAAAATATCTGGGCGAATCACAGCCGTAATCAGGCTTAGATAGGGTTCTAAGAACTTGATTTGTAGTATGAGGAAGCCGATTTTGGTGACTTCACAGAATATTCGTGCATGCAAATACTTTGTTAGAAATAGTGGGAGTCGGAGTAGACTATAGTACACGTAATGCTTTTCAAGCCTACAGTGTCATAAAAAAAATTTCTGTGTAGTTGTTGCTCTGGCCGTCATTGACCAGGCTACATACAAACTGATTACGAATTGTCTTCAAGTTTTTCATATGATATTTTAAAGGATATTTAGATCTTGAGTGACCTCTAATTTTATTACAGCTCCCTCAATTTTATCAATTACCTACGAAGGTTGGTCTTTCTGACATCCTTGAGTCGCAACTATCAGAAAACATGGTTATTTAAATCACAACTGCATGATCAATATGCCCAATTTGTTGTCAATACCTAGTCTACATATTCTATACACTAACCAGTTTACAAACGTCCAGCTTTGCGTTCACTTGCAAGTAAGTAAATAAATAATTACATCGCTGATGATTGGTTAAAGAACTTAATCAGTAAGCATTATTTTTTTCAGATTAACCTTTATTTTTAACGAGAATTATCTGTACATTTACTATCAATTTAATAATGTTTCGGTACATGATAGTATTATGGATTACGTATCAGTTCAGAGATATATGATAAAAAATAAAAACACAAAACTGTGGAAAAATTGAAGTTTCAAAACTGTCAAAGACGATCAGAAAGCTACAGGAAGAACTCTAATTTGAGGAAACCCGTTTTCTGAATTCTTGAATTTGTTGGTAAATATTAAAATTTGACCCTTTTAAACCAGTATCTTTTCTACTACCTACATCAAATATGCGCCAAAATGAACATTTCCGCGAATTTCCAATTTCGGGATATCCGATTGGTTCACATAAGCGAAAACCATTTTTTGGGGAAAACGTTTCTAGGAACACAGCTTTAAGCAAATTATTTTGAGCTCGATAGTAAAATGTCCCGCTGAGCTAACCGGGAATCGGTTTCAATGAAACGTATTTCCGCTAGGAACCCTCTAATGGTAGGAGAAAAAGAAGATTGTTTCTGTAAAAACTTTTTTATAGCCTCACGTGTTGTTAGATTTGGTAACTCTATTAGAATTAATAATCTTAAGAACTTGCTGTGGTCATTTAAGTGTGTGGTTCTAAGAAAACAAAAAGGAAACATTTTAAATTTCAAAATATGTACATAAATGTATTATATATTAAAAAATGTTAAAATGTGTACAACGTAAGAACATACACTCATTTCAGATACTGGCTTTCCATTTTATTAGATCTTTGACCCGCTCATTGGAGAACAAACAGTAAAGCCGCTGAATACTCGTAGTCCGGTAGGGGTTTTCAATCCTGAGGAACGGGATGCTATATTTTCTCCATGGATAATGTGACAAGTCAGTTCCTGTTAGAGGATCCTCCGCAAGAGATCCCTCCTCTTAAACAGACAACCCTAGAGAATCAAATAAACTAAACCAAAATCAAACCAGATGCTTTGTACCCTTTTTTATATGTAGCCAAAAAAGTTGTTCTATCTTCGTCATGTTGTTGTAATGCTTGCTGCATCTTTCAGGAAACGCGCGATTTCTTTTACAAAGCTATTATGAACCATTCGGTGGTTGCGAAACTAAGCAATTCATTCTTCCAAATTACGTGCGATATCTGTTAATCGTAAACATGTAATGTGAGCTGTGTTCGTCTGCGCCCACTGCGGGGTGCAACTGGAATGCGATCTGAACTAGTTGATGATTATCGAAAGGTTAACTCGGTATTATGAAAATAATTAAATTAGATTTATTCGCATTTTAAATGTAGTTTAGATTTAAGCATCTTACGAGTTTTAAAAGACCATGTGAAGAATAACCGCGTTCACACATGCATGCGTTCTCAGTGTGAGTTATTAACACGTTCTTCTAACAACTGGAAAATCCTTAATTTAAATCTAGGTCGGGGCACAGCTAACTGTTCGTATTTACTTTCCTTAGAATTGTAGTAAGTCTTTAGAATTTTAATTTTGTCTCAGCTGAACTTAACAAGATCAAAGAAGAAAGCTTCTTCCAACATGTCATCCCGCAAGAGTTGCTAAGCTTTTCTTATCTGCGTCGGTGTGCCCATCCCATCAGGTGGAGGTGCAATCTTTACCGTTAAACTTGGTTCAATTACTATTCATTAATATTAGGTGCTACTATTAAAGTTTAACTATATTTGATAACACTTTTAACCGAAATGTTGGGCAAAGTGAATATTTTGATTCATGTCATGAGTTGATTTATTTTGTTAAGTTACTGATCTTTGTTGCGGAAAGTTTGAGTTATGTTGTAAAATAAAGTGGTAAAATAATTAATCCACCTTCGTTTAGTCCTTATTTAATATTAATTATTTAATTTCGTTTAATGTTATCATCAAGTTTCAAAACGTATATCCAACCTTAAAGTTGAATTTGTTCTCTGGTTTTTAACTCTCCCATTCTCATTCCCATTCCCATTCAATCCGCACCCTAACTAGCAAGTTTCGAGCATTCACGTACTCGATTCGTTAGAGAGTCGGAAACTTAATAATTATTTATGTTCCTCTTTTCAGAAGTTGACCTTTACATTTTACAATCTATAAAAGTGTTGCAATATGATACAAAATTAAGCCTGACCTTTAAATAATGATCTTTAATATTAACTCAAGTGGATGTAAGGATTAATAACAAATATTGTTTAAAAAATATGGCGAGGGAACCTTTCAACTTATTCGAGGAACTTCAAAAAAACTTTAGAAAGGCATTAAATAAGAGCGCATCGAATAGCAAGAAGTTCAAAGCAAAGAAATGCAGTGCAAAGATATTAGACAGCGAGGAAAAGCGAAGTGATACGCTTCTTGAAATATAATAAAAGGGGTAAGGGAAAGCTGAAAAGAATAACGAAGCCTGAAATATATTAAATGGAACTTTCTAGAAATCCAGAAGAAATCTTCGACTACTTTGTAAGGCTCTTTCTAAGCTTTTCTTAACTCCTGCTTTGGATTTTATTCATTCATTCTTTTTATTTACGTTACTTACTTAACATGATATGCAAATTTAGGCAAAAAAAAGCTCCAGTAGCGTAACAGCTAGCTAGCATTATTGTTATCGTGCGTTGCTAATTTCAGGAAAGCTGGTACATTTGGGAGCTTGCGCTGAAGCTTGAATTTGCTTTGAAAACTTTGTTATTAAAAGAGAAAAATATTGCGACGTCATTATTGAATTCATCTGAACCCATTCCTGAAACCATAAAATGTAAGGTCATAAAGGAAACTAAGATTCAAATTTGATTCAGTAATAAAAAAAGTTCTCTAATATATCTAGTGATTTTTAAGTCTAGTTTAGAGTATACTTTCACTAGTAAGTGAATTTTAATCCAGTAGCTTTCAAGAACTCTTCAGATTTTTCCAATCGATAAAGTAGTAAAATGTATAAACACTCTCTGTAGGATTCCCTACTGAAATCCTACAGAGAGTGTTTATACATTTTAAGAACGGAATCGGGGCCGTTTAATTGATATTTAAAACGTAAAGAGTATTTTTTTAAATGTTCGATCTGATAGTCCCGTTTCTTCTGGATACATCTGCATTGTCATTTCCATGAAAGAAGGGTTTTCGTAAAATTTCTAAGAGTATGGTTTTCCATTCCCCTTCCGGCATTTTCCAGAATTCATCAATCGTGGTGCGTTTGCGTTTAGAAAGGGATGTTTTGAAGAGACCAGAGCCACAATAGTCCAGAGGATAAACGTCAGCTGACTTTTCAGGAATACCCTGTAAAGTTATACCTGCTATACATTTATCCGTCTTCATGTTTTCAATGAATGCAGTGGCGCTTTTAGAAGTGTGACTTGTCGCTTTGTCATGAGGAAGTTTCACTTTTTGAAAGCCATTGGAATGAAGAAATGGAATTTCTTCTGTAAATATCGAACGTTAAACTTTCTGTTGATAGTATGTTTAGTTGATTTTAATATTTTTTCTACTCTTCTCATTTTTAATTTCCCGTTGACAGAAAATCCTGCAACAATCGTAAATCCTTTACTGTCATTCTATTGACGGAAATAGGTTTCGTATTTATGTTTGCCCTTTTTTCCCCACATTAAATGACATTTTTTTTCTTTTCAGATATTTAACTATACCCATGCTTATTCGCAGGTGACAGTGTATTTCCATTTATCTCCAGTCAAATAGTGTCCGTAAAGGATTCTACAAATTGTTCCGAATTGAGCTGCATACCTCGGCAAAAGCTGGTAAACATTATTTTTTTAGCCTTTTAAAGTTGTAAATCTTGGTTTATTTTTTATTTGTATTTTAACACGCATACAGATGTATCACATGTATCACAGATGTATTTAAAGTCTTTAAAATTGTCTTCTACCATAGCGGATTTCGGGATATTCGTTTTGAGTCTTCGTTTCATGTAGAAGTAAAGATTGACGTTTTTCTCTTTCCGGTGCATGATTTTGCTTATTTTATTTACAGATAGAAATTTTAATACCATTTTCTTTTCAGAACGTTTTCGAGATATGGAATAGGAATATTTCTCTTCGGAAAGCGTAAAAACATATCTTTCAGAGCTTGTTTACATGCGACATATTGAAAGAAGAACAAATTTGAAAGTAGCAGACGATATTTCTCATCCCATATAATAAACTGTTGCCAGAAATTCTTATTTCAAATCATCTCTTATTTTTTATTTCTTTATCTGAGTAATTCTGAAAAACTAGCAAACACCTCTTGTGTAGTCCTATGATGGTACTGTAAACAGTTTATCTCGCTCTTTCTGACCTACTTTTAGACTATCGAGTGAAGTATTCAACAGTAAAAAACACATTATTACTTTCATATTTTCTTACTTCTTCAAGCTGAGCCTGAGTGCCGCCCTCAAAATCCACACTTTTATTAAAATGTTATCTACACTTCGACTACTTTGTAAAAAAGTTGCTTTTTTTACCTAATTTTAAGCATGTTATACCTCTCTCGTCGAAATCCAGACAGTGTAAGAATCAGTTAAAGTGTTGTATTGCAGGCTAAGAAATGGGGAAATAGAGAATTTGCTCTAGGAAGATATATAAAAGAAAATCGTGCTTTAAAAAGATCCGAAAATTTAAAAAAAAAATTATTCTCTGTGTTGCAGCAAATAGTATTTTTAAAGAGTAGTTTTATAAAATTTGTAATGTTAAAACTGAAGGTTACAGTCTAATATCTCGGAGAAATTAAAAAATGATCATGATATATTGATACATTTCTAAGGGAAACTAAGCCTTATTAATTTAGGAATTAGTGCATAAGAAATTATGGCTAAATCATACGAACTCTTTATGTTTAAACTGAAACAGTTTCAAATGAGGAAGCAAAATGTTAAAAAAACGCGGTCTTATTATTTCATCCTAGTTTAATGCTACACAGAAAACTGTGCATTTTTTTCAGAAAGAAATGATTTAATTGTTCAAGGCAGAGCTATGAATTCATTTGAATGAATGAGCTTTCCAACGAATGTGTACCTCACGTGTCAATATTTGTATTTTGCGGAGACACAATATTCGGTTTTTGTAAAGAGAAAACATATCACATTAATGTTTAATACACATTCTGCTTGAAGGACATAAAAGTTCAAGTATAAAAAAAAAATTAATTAACTGTCTCGGATTATTTAAAATTCTGTGTATTTTGTTGACTTTCAATCCAATGATATTTTAGTATTTTTTAGTATCCAATGATTTTTTAGTTTCAGTATGTACTTTTCACAAATGCTTTTCTTGATGTTAAATGTCTTTATTCTTGTACTATGTTATTTGTTTTATTTTAAACAGCCATTTAAATTTTATGAAGAAAAGGATTTCGATTAATTAATCAATTAAAATATGCAATGAAGTAATATAATGTTTTGCAGTCGAGATGGGAGCCTGAATAAATAACTAAAATTTATCGAATGCGCAGAGTAAAAAAAGCTAATTCTAAAAGAACTAAGTTTTATCCTGGTAATTTCAATTTCGGTATAGTTTTGCTCCAACAAATTTTGTTTTCTAATTAAATGGCGACGGATTAAATGAAATCCGATATATATTACTACGTGATTCCGAAGCGATGGGTTAACATCCAATTTCATGGCCTGGATAAATTACCCAATATCTTTATAACTTCAAAATAATTAATAGTTTCAGCTGAGAGGTGAGCATGGCATTTCATTATCTTCAAATTATTAGGCTATCGTTTCATATTGCTTAACTAGCTCATCCCATTCTTGCTCCCAGAGCTTATTTCTAGTTTCGGTCATGTACCGTATTTCCTCCCGTTATTTTCCCCTAGTGCTAGGTTCATACTATCATTCAAAATATTCGCATAATTTTCCTCTTTTCTCTATTGTACACAGTTATTTCTCTCTTAGAGTTAGCTTATTAGTTTATAGGGTTAGTTAAAGTATTAATTTTTTTTAAATATTTTGTATTAGCTTTTCATCTATTTTATTTTCCTCCTTTGCATATATTACACACTCTGGCCAATGAATTAGAAACCTTTGAGATTTTCATTTGAATGCGTGCAAGGAATAACGTATTTATGACATGGGTTACACGTGGTTAAAATGCTAGCATAAATAAGGCGTAAGAGTGCCTTTCACGATACATGGATTAAAATGGGAAAACGAGAGATCTTTCACCCTTTGAAAAAGGTCGTATTGTTGTTACCCGTTTAGCAGGGGCCTCGATTTCAGAGACAGCAAATCTCATTATGTCCTCAAAAGCAGCCATATCAAAGGTTTTCAAAAGTTGGAATCAGATTCCACAGTCCTTCTCCAGAAGATGTAAATCGTATGGCAGAACAGGGACTTTACTGGGCTTCAACTGACACAGATCAACCACCAAGGCTCTTCCCAAACGATTTCAGCTCGACCTATCCGCAGAAAATTGCTGAGGATAGGAATACATCGTCGGGTGCCTGTGAGAAAGCCACTCGTTTCTGCCCGACATGAAAGATTCGTTTGCAGTGGTGTCGTGTCGGGAAAGAAGACAATGGACGTCTGAGGATTGGAAACGGGTAATGTGGTCGGATGAATCACGCTACACCTTATTTTGCACTAATGGGAGACAATGAATTTGGTGGGAGCCCCATTCAGCCATGAATCCATCTTGCCTTACTCGCCCTGTGCTAGGGTCTGGTAGGACTATCATGATATAGGGCATGTTCTGCTGGCATGGAACAGGTGCACTGGTGTTCCTCGATGGTGTAAACAAACAGACATGGAATACCTAGATATACTGGCAGATCATGTGCACCCAGCAGGTTTGCATTTTTACCCTGATTGCAACGGATGATTCATAGACGCTAATGCAGCTATACATCGTGCCAGAAGTTTTCAATTGTTTTCTTGAACATCAGTCTGACTTCCAATACCTTCTCGCCACCGCATAACTCGTATCTTAACCCTATACAAAATGTGAGGGATATGGTGGAAAGACGCATTCGACAGGATTCTCCTCTTCCATCTAATTTACAAAATCTAAAAACTGGCACAGCAAATGCATGGATGTAAATGCACTTCAGAAGCATGTAGACTCGATGCCCAAAGTAATCAGAGTAGTTATGCGTGCAAAAGGTGGTCCTATAAAACATTGATCTTCGTTTTGTAATACATTGGCCAGTGTGTGTTTTTGAAATGTATTGCTACGAATTTTGCGCACACGTAAATAATTTCAGTGAAATAAACAGTAAATAATATGTGAAACAGGTATTTTTTGTATAATATAATATGAAATGCTTGAAAGAGACGATGCTCTGTAGGAAATAATATGTGAAACTAGTATTTTTTGTATAATATAACATGAAATGCTTGAAAGAGAAGATGCTCTGTAGGAAAAATAAGAGTACAGGAGCAAGTCTATTTGGCCAGATATCGCCAAGCTGACAGTGGTTTTGGAGACTTATTTTTGTCGAAAAATTTGGAGAGAAATCGCTAAATGTCACCACACTGGCAACTACTTGGTGATATTTGGGTTTTCTCCTTGTGGCCCGCGGCTGGCGGAAATGTAAATAAGACACGTGAAAGCGTCAGTTTCTCAGTTATTAGTTAAAGCAACTTCTAAGTATTAAGATATCTGTAACAGATTCGCCTTTTAGATGTTATCTGCATTGCGTTGAGTTTGACGTTTTTAGTAATTTGTAGTGTAACTACTGATTGTGTATTGGGATAAAGAAGTACTATTTCTGAAGAAATTTCTACAATTTTAAGGTGTCTCTTTTGTTAAAATAAATTTTATCAAGCTATTATCGTTTCTGTATGCATTCAGTCTATTACTAACCCATTGACATACAGCAGTATTTTGTGCAGATTCCTCGTTCTGCTGTCCGGGTGTGGCATATGTTCGAGCACTTTAAAAAAGTTTCCAAACATGGGATTTTATCTTAATTCTGTTATTTGCATTCTAGCTTACTGTAACCTTATCTACTGCTGATGCGTTCCATATTTCGAGATCGGGGTTTCTTATTTGTCCCCTTCTCTCCTTCATTCTTCTGATGTCCCTATTGGGAACTGCGGTCAAAACTCATTAATGTCAGGTTTGCTTGGGGTTTTAGAAGGTAACTGAACAGGAAGAGTGACATGTCTGGCTCAGTGGCCGTCATATATCGGCTAAATATCCTTCAGATATTGTAACCTTAATATCACTGTGTATTCTTATTGAAATGTAGGTTTCTTCTAAAAAGGTAATGTTCTGATATTAACCATATTCATGACTAAAATTTATCTTATTATGTTCTTACCGTAATCTCTTTCTTTATAAATTAAATTACTCGCTTAATTTTCATCTGTTGATTTTGGGACAAAGATATCAATAAAAAATCTAATGTGGACATCATATGACTTCATTGTATGGCTTATTAAATAAGACACATTTATTTGCTGCACTTGACTTGAACTTATTTCCTCGAATTATTCTAATTTAATAAACCGATTCCTCAAAGCATGTTGAAAATTATATCAAAAGTTTCAAATTTTGAAAAGAAATATCTCGGTCCAAAGAGTCAAAATTCTTGTATTTTTTATAACGAGTATCATCCTTTAATTTTAGCGTGAGCTTAAAATTTGACAAAAGGTTGCCAAGCTTTTTAGTATCATTTTGATTAAATTTTGAAGAAGCCTTCGAATTAGTAAATTTATCGGAAACGTACTGCAAATTCTTATTAAAATTTTTGATTAATGCCACTTTCAGCCATAATTTCAATACTAAAATTATAGAAATATTAGTAATATAAA